GAGCAGCATGGCTGGGTGGCAGCACTAGGGCTGGTGCTCATGTTTTCAGGGGCAGGGTGACAGGGAGATGCTGCTAGGGGAGGGGGAAGGAAATGTGGCCAGAAGGCCTGGCATGGCAGAGATGCACCAACCAGCCCAGGTTGAAGGGGACCACAGATCACTGCTCTTCCTCTCTCCAGCCCGTGTCCGGCCTTGAATCACTCCACCACTGCTCACCAAGTTAGAGTCACCACACTCCAGTGCAGGGGAGACAGGGCCAACTGAGGGCTCTCTCTTCCAAGGCTGGTGGGAGCTATAGGTCAGGAGTGAGAGGCACTGGCAGGGCTAAAGGGGTTGTGGCTTGTGGAATGAGGGGCACTAGGGTGGACAGGGCACTGTGAGTTGGGGGGTGAGGGGCACCTGGAGGGTGGGAGACTGTGGGTCAGAAGTGCAGGGTACCAGCAGGGCCTGGGGGCTGTGGGTCAGGAGTGAAGTCAACCAGCAGAGATGGGGGGGTTGCAAGTTGGGAGTGAGGGGCACCAGCATGGCCCAGGGGGGTGGGTAAGGGGCACCAGGAGAGCCAGAGGGCTGTGGATCAGGAGTGAGGGGCACTGGCAGGGTCAGGGGAATGAGGGTCAGGAGTGAGAGGTACTGGCGAAGATGAGGAGCTGCAGGTTGGGAGTGAGGGGCATCAGCATGGCCCAGGGAGATGGGGTTGGGACTGCAAGGCACTGGCAGGGCCAAGGGCCTATGGGTTGGGAGTGAAGGGCAACAGCATGGGCAGGGGAAGGGCATTGGCATATCAAGGTTACTTAGTGCCACAAAGCAGCAGGGGGGCCAGCCACAGCTGGACCTGCACCCTGGTGAGCAAAGGTGGCAGGGGGAGCTCTGATACTCCATGATTAAAAAATCCAAAATCAAATGCCAAAATATATAGGTATTCAGAATTTATTTTATTATAATGATTGAGGCAATGGTAGACTTCCAAACTGCTATCAAATTGTAAATATGTCAATAAAACATTGTCTTAAGTTGATACACACACACACACACACACACACACACACACACACTATATATATATAATTAGGGCTGTGCGAAGTTTCGGGTGCTAATTCAATTCAGAGGAGATTTATCCCGACTCAGTGGTCGACTCCCCGAATCCAAATTGAATCTGCAGAACAAATAAAAGGTCCAAATTGATTCGTAGCTCTCCGAATGTACTTAGAAAAGATTCAGAGAGCTTCAGAGATTCAGGCAGTCCCCACTGGCTGCAGGAGGGAGCTGGACCTGGACTCCAAGCTGATAATAGGGGACAGGAGAGGGGAGGGTGGAGGAGGGGACCATGGGGGGACCCCTGCCAGGGCCCCATCCCCTGCCTGCTCTCCCAAGCCCTCCCCGAGTGCCCCCCAACCCCTGCCTACTGTGCCCCCACCACGGCTGCCCCACCCATCCCAGCTCATTATTTTTTTTAAAAGCCCCTACTCATCTGGTACTGCCAGGCGGGAGGGGTGATCCCCGCTGCCTCCCACTACCCCATACTGCATGAGGGGCTCTTCCATGAGCCCCCTGACCGCTCCTCCCACTCTCCCAGACCCCCCATGGCTGCCTCACCTGCCCTAGCTCTTGGCCCTCTTAAAAAAAAAAACAAACAAAAACCCTGGACTCAGCAGCTGCTGCAGTGATTTTGGGGGGCTCATGGAAGAGCCCCTCATGCAGTATGGATTGCCCCGCTGCTGGGCAAGAACCAGTGAGTCAGGGCTTGTTTGTTTGTTTGTTTTAAGGGCTGGGAACTGTGGTGGTTGGGGCAGCCATGGGGGGAGAGAGGCTAGGAGCTCATAGCAGAGCCCCCCATGTGGCATGGGGCAGTAGGGATCACCCTCCCCCCTTCCCCACCAGGCAGGAGACAGTGAATGGGGGCTTTTTTTTTCCAAAGACTTGGAAGCTAGGGAAGGTGGGACAGGCATTGAGAGCGGTTGGGGGATGGGGCCTGTGTGATTCAAAGATTCAGCAGTAGCTGAATCGAATCGATTTGGAACAGTGATTTGAATCACCGAATTGAATCACTTTCCCTAGAATCGGCTGAATCTGAATTCAAAGTGAATACTAGCCGCTTCACATAGGCCTAACACACACACACACATACACACACACACACACACTCTCTCTCTCTCTGTTTCATTTTAATCATGGAAAAACATAAATTTGAGGATTTTAAAGTCAGATGATCTGGTTCAAAAAGTCTTTAACTGCAGATTGGATGACTTTGAGAGGGTCCGGTCACTGCAGCCATGAGAAGCTGAAAAGGCCATGCACCTGAAGGTGGTGTCAGTTGCCTTTTGCACTCAGTTGACCTTCTGAAATTAGGGACAGCAGGCTCTCCCTTCTATCTGAGGTAGCCAAATCCATGAAGCCTGCTAATTTCTCACTCAAAAACTGTGCCAGGATAAAAGAGCCCAGTAGCAAACTATCAGGAGGCTGATGATTATGCCTTGAAACAGGATTCTGGTTTAAGAGGCTGTTAAAAACAGAACTTCGGACATTCTCCACAATAATCTTTGTTTCTTTTCCAAACCGGTCCAATATATTTTTTTTTTTATTTTATCTGGTGAGCCAACCTAAAGGACCTTGTAGCCAATACCATCAGAAGATGCCAGCCTCATAGGACTAATGGTCCCCAGAGACAACAAGCAGCTTGACTTTGCCTCTCAGAGTTTAGTGTGCATGCATACAGCTCCCAGAAGAGGAGTAAGAATTTGGCATAAAGAAATGTAGCATGAATTTAAAGAGTGGAAGATAAACAAGGTACCTCACTTTGAAGTTAGTTTATTCTTAGTCCTCAGATTTTAGAGAGATTTCAGATCTATCCCACCCACCATCATGTTATGGAAATAGACATGAACCTGGATTACACCAGAACCAATACCTTGTAATCCATCTGTTCAGAGCAGTTAAACACGTATACCATGATGCCAAGGGCTCGCCCCAAATCCTTGGTGGTCTCTGTCTTACCAGTCCCTGCAGGCCCAGCAGGGGCGCCACTCATGGTGAGGTGCAGAGACTGGGTAAGGGTGATGTAGCATCTTCCAGCAATGAGAAAGAAAAAAAAAAAGAGGAACAAAAAGAGATGAAGGACCCAAATTACATGAAAGAACCTGGCAATACCATCAGAAGGGCTAATGTATATTAGGTCAATGCATACTGGTTCCTTATTCAAAGGTCTACTGATGGATTATGGGGTAATCGGACTGAATCAATGCCTGCTGAGCAAGACACGAGCATTCAGACTGTTTGTAAACCAAAAAATCTGCTGATTCACAGTTATTAGTCTGTTGAGTCTTTCATATGGGATCCTAGAATCCCAATTTTTTCAGCGTCAAGGGCAGGGTTTTCCTTTTAAATATTAAGCTGTCTGACGTCATGCGTGTGGTCCACCACCCCATCATAAAGTGGTAGCAGTGGAGCCACACAAGTTTAACTAAGGAAGAGTCCCAGAAATTTTCTTCTTTAGTGCTTTGTATTATTGATTAGCTAGCTCAGGTTTGGAGCTTTCCATTGTGCAGTGATCCCTTCTGTTTGGCCTAGTGATAACCATGACAGATTCCAAAAACAGTTCCACTCTGGTGCACAGCAGAATGAGGGAAGAGAGGGAAGATACTTCAGATATCTTCTACAATGAATCCTACAGCAAGGTAGTTAGAGTTTTGTTGGTGGGTAGCTGGGATAGGAAGGGAAAGAAAGAACTCCATGAACAGGGGTGACGTAGGGGGGTCCAAGTGGGTGCACTTGTACACCCTGAGCGTGTCAGTGCACCCCTGGTGGCATCTGCGGGAGCTTCCTACTCACCGCTGCCAGGCTCCTGCCACTGCCAGTCCAGCCATGCCCCACCCCCCGCTGCTGGGGGCATGGGTCGTTCATGTCCATGAACACTTGTCTGCAGCTGACAGTTGTTTCTTTTCCCTACTTGGGAGACTGCTGAAGCTGAAGCAACCCTGTGATAAGGTATATAGACCATCTAGGTACCTACCTGTCTGTCAGGGGAGTGATTACAAGGCGAGGTGTGTTACCAAGGTATTCATATGAATAAAGAAACTGGGCATCACATATGTTCGCATAGCAGTGCTTTTCTTCATCAGCCCACCGGTGCCGAAGCTGTGACAGCCAAATAAATGCCTGGGCACTGTCCACCTGCAAATACACATAGATATCCATGGGCATTTATCAAGCAGGGGTGGTCAGAGATACAACTTCAAATGCAACTTGGATGGTAAACCCACTGGCTTCAACCAAAATTTTGTTTACCAAAAAATAACTGGGCCCAGTGTTTTATAATGGAAGAAGGTTTCTCCTTCAAGAAAAAGGATATAAATCAAAGCCAGCAATATCTCTTGCACAGAGATGAAGGGCTTCTCAAGTGTAAAGAGCAGAATGGAAAGCCACATGAAGAGGTGACAGAAAAGATGGGATGTACAAGAGAGAGGTTCTCATGAAGCAAAACGTATGAGAGGGGGCAGCAGGACAAACTGATAGGATGTTACCTGGTCAGCATTTCTAAAGAAAATTAAACACTGAAGTTCCCATGAAAGCACAATGCAAGAGGAAGGAGAGAGGGCAGCCATTTCCAACACCCCACCTAGCCAGCCCACAACATTGTGCCAGTTGATACTGGGAAAGAAAGGCAAGCTTTAGGATTTGGGGAAGTGCAGACATTTGAAGAGGAAAACCATTTGACTGTTTGAGAAGAATGGGTGTAGGGAAGGTGATCAATCCAAAATCGAATGGAGTCAATGGGGATCGTCACACTGATTTCAATGGATTCGGGATCAGGCCCAAAACATTATAGAAGACTTAGCTTGGCTGTACTTTAAGATCTACTTGTGTACCTCTCCAGTGGGAAGAAACCTCCAAAGATAAAAACTCCATTACTCTGTAAATATGTGATAGCACCCATTAGCCATTAGAAATGCATTTTATTGGCCTATTAACACATGCCTAAGCTGAGCACTGGGGGGTAGAGTGGCAAAACCATTCACTGAACCTCTAACTTGCATTAGCAGATGACTGAACACAAGACCTGTGGTGCTTTAAGGTCCGTCACACTGCACAATTGCTGATTTATTGTGAGGGTTTCAGCAGCTCACGCAAAAATGATGTATTTTTACCCCCAAAGGAA